CGAAATGTATGTACGTTCACCCCATTCCTATTCCTGCTACATTGCTTGTTTATTTATACAATTTTATGCAGTCCGATATGGAAAGTACATTTCGGAATGGACGGTATGGTTTTCTGAATTCTGATTTAAACTTAAGCTTTTATTTGAGAACGCAAAATTTACAATAAACACATAAGAATACTGAAATGAGAGTAGTTTCTTGTAAATAGAATTTTCGCATCCAGCGAATCTCTATCTCTATGATGCCATATTATATAATTTTCTTTACTGTTTAATATTAAAGATGCTTCGAGGAGAAAATAAACGCAAGAGAGTTTTAGAATGCATTAAAGTAATACTTTATAAATAAAAATAAGAGAATGACATTATTGGCTCGATACAAGGAGTATGTCTAAGAAAAACAAGAACATCTCACAAGAGATCATCTGTATGCAAAGTATGCTATTGAACAAAATTCGTTGAAAATAACACCGAGGTCGATGCGTTTCCAATTTCGCTGGAAATACTCTCTATATTAGCTTCGTCCTAACGACTGTTGCTTAGTTTTCTTTTTTCCGCTTTCCTTTCGACGGAGGAATTCGCCGCCGTCACATTTACATGCGATTCGGATCGACGGGGAACGTTGCAAGTGAAACACGCCGGCTAGTTGGAGATGTAAAAATGATTTTAAAACCTCTTAAAGCGATATATCACTGTATGTAAGATTTCAAATATCTCCATTTGCATTAATTTAAAAGCGCTAGCGTTGGGCATAAAATAGGTTATTTATGTCGTTGTCATGTTTTTCATGTCCCGGGATTTCACACGTATTACTGCTAATTTTATGCTATAGTTCTCACGGAAAAATTCACATGCATGAAACGTTTTTTAATTGACACACCGACATTTACTTAAAAAACGAATTAAACTGCACGAATATGTATCTTTTATTTTTGTTTCATGAATAGACGAAATTACCGCGAGCAATTTCAACACATATTTATGCACTAATTAATTAAATCAGCTGTATAGGTATGTAAAGTCATTTTTTATGCTGAAAAATTTTAAAATAGATCACATCATTTGTTATTTTACGAATTTTTCGAATAATATGAAAAATATAGCTCTTTAAATAGAGGGTAGCTAAAATTTTCAATCTATAAAAATGCATGGTTTATAGATTACTCCATCATTAAACACCGATTTACAATAAATTAACCGAAATGTTTCATCCATTTTTGAAGAGAAATCCGAAACAACGATAATTGCTTTCATACATAAACATAACAGCCCGATTTCCGAGCGCATTTATGCCATGTTTATGGAACTTTTCAAGTAAAATCGACGCTGCACATAAGTTTGTGTGATATATTCGAGAGATTCAATACAACGGTATTTTATCAACTGGTTTGAGCTTTCCGACAATGTAGCTTGATGGTATATCCGAAAAGACAAACAACTCCAGTAAAATTCGTTCTCTTGCTGAAACAAGCGATACATAAAAATGGCATCGGTAAATTTCAAACTTGTATTCAGTAGCGTACATTTCATTTTCTTAAAATTCCTACCTTGTTACTTAATGCTTTAATTGTCTGTAATATTTTTAAAATTTGTCTTTATTACTGGGTGTCTGATGATAATTTATTCCCCTTTGTTTGAATTATTTTATCCTAAAAATGCTTTATTACATAGACGCTACTGATAAGCTTTTACATATTTTATGGATCCATTTCAAAAGGCTCTTCTTTATCTAAGCGTGTTGTAGTAAATATTTGTTTGAATTAGGCACCATGATCCTCTTGTTTGTGCAAATGCATATCAATCCCTACACTCTCTCTTTGTTACAATAATAAAAAACCTGTAGGTGTATCGGGCGCTTTATTATACCAATTTATTAATTACTTAAGTTTATAGGAATATAATTTTTTAATTACATAAAATTTATGTAAACCTTGTATGTATTTAGGTAAATCAGAAGTCGAAATCACGCCCTTTGTGGAAACGACTTAATTCACGCTTATTAAAATCACGCAATCGATGAAAAATGACACACGGCAGTGGCACATTTTTAATTATTCTAAAACTAATCGCCGCCGTTTGAAATGGCGATTGCACCACTTGATATATTTACTAAAATGTGCAATCGGGGGCAAATTTAACGATAACACGCGGATTTTACGGGGTGAAACTCGAGTTGAATTCGTTATTCACTTCACCCGTTGTTTTAATTTACTACAATGAGTTTTTAGATGTTATAATAATAATTTTTAGCCATATGAAAGTAGAGGTATCGTGGAAATTACTCGATTAAAGTGCTCGAATTTAAATTAAGCCATTTTTTTGCCATTACAAAACAAAGTATGGGGTAGGTAATACGTTTGTAGTTTTCACCTTGTGTTTCTTATAACCTTATAGTTATTTAACTGAATGTGCGTAGTGTTTATCGTATTATCGTTTTATGCATATAATTTAACTACAAACTATATCAAACGAATCAGATCAGACTCGCACACGCATGCATTAGCTGTTGAATTAATATCGTAATAATATACAAACTATTTGCGATAGGGATCTATGCGAGGAGTTCTGGAAAATATATATGGAAACGGTCTGTGGGACTCCTTATCCTTTAAACGATGTATCGCGTAGGTACATAAATTATTTTCCTCGTGAAATAGGCCACACTGCTCTACTATTTTACTAATTTGTTCGTTAGCATTTACGGTTCAGTGAATTAGAGGAAATCCTTTATTCCACTCGTATTTTTACTGCATATGAAATAACCGATAGAGTTTGATAGATTTGGAGGTAGTAAAAATCCGGAACGTGCATCGGTTTTGTTTCGACTGATATTTCCTAGGACGCATTCGGAAGTTTTAAAGGCTGCACTAAATTTTATGAAGAATAGAGCTTTCGGGGAATAAACAATAAAAAAAAGTTTTCGTTTATGTTAAGTTTATAGACTGTACTGCACTACTCTAAATCGTTAAAAAAGTTTTTATTAGCTTTATTCTAGGCAAGCGTTAAAAATAAAATGATGATTTATTTAGGGCGAAATTTTGTTACCTGAAGTTGCTTCCGTAAATCAGAATTCACTAATACATAAATTTTCTGTTGTTTTGATTTTAATTTCTAATGTCTTTTAAAAGTCATGCAATAATTTTGTTAATTCATTTTCTTATTAAATTCTAAGAACCGTATTTTTTAAAGTAAAACTTGATATTTACAACTTCATGTAAATTTACACGATTTATGCATTCATTTTAGCCAAGAAAACATTCACTCGATTATTTTATAATGACCCAGCGTAGAATACTCGTTACCAGAGATTTAACAAAGTTGATGTTTGTCCAAGTATCACGTGAAAATATTTTTCTAGGTTCACCCGAAAATAAAACGCTCTAAAATAAAATATTCGAATAGTAAATTCGGTGAGAGTAGGTCAGTATTGTGCGAAGGATTTATGTCAAGTTTAATTCACCGTGACCGCCGGTTTTCCATAGGAAGAACATTCGCTGATTTTTTCTCTCCTGCTGAATGATTTAAATGCTTCCATTATATTTAGCATCATTGTAATTATATCACCTGTCATATTTTCCCGTATACGAATTTTTATAGTCGCATGTCGCATAAAGAATTTCATTTTCTTATCGTTTGCACTATAATTGCCTCAAAAACCATAATTCAATTAGTTACTGCTTTCGTAATTTATATTTAAAAAATGCAAATTTGATACGTATTGCGCTTTATAATTTGTAAATTATTACCGCTTTGATTTTATCGTAATTATTTATAAATATTGGTTCACTATATACACCATAATGATCAGTTTTACATTTCATTTCATTTTATAATTTAATTTATAACAAGGCAGTTTTTCAGAAAAAAGTTAATTTGTAACACATAACATGCCTTTACAGATTTTGTACACTGTTCTTATATGTATAAAAGAATAATTTTAAAAAAGAATTTGAATGTTGGAAAATCCTACAAACGAGTATATGCAGTAGGTACTTACTGGTAATTTGATTATTCGTTTTTCAAAGGAAACTATCACAAATTAATAATGAATATGAATGTTTATTGAACTAATTTATAGCCTATTTATGACCCACAGAAACAATAACTAACATTCGACTGGTTATATAGGTATGCACGAGTGCCAAACATTCGGAAGTTCTAAATTATGAATGCTAAAATAAACGGTTAAAGTTTATGTTCGAAGTGAAGATTAAACTATTCACTTTGAAGAACAACGCTGTAAATCACGTGGATTTTTTTCGTTAAACGCAATAGAGTAATTTACGAGGGTAATTTGAATCTTGCTTTTTGAATAATGCCAAATTTATGTGACCATTTGTTCGAAAGGATTAAACAATTCAACGTCCACGCATTCGATTCAAACAAAGAATATAAATAAGCAGGTATTTTGTTTACAAAAACTTTTTGATTTACAAGACAGGCAGGTGGTTCAAAAACCTAAGCAGTCCGCTATAAAATTGTAACAACAAATTATTTCCGAACTCACAATTAGATGCGAGATTCTCTTCTTTTTTGTGCCAACATAAATTTACATAGCTCAAGCTGTAATCCGTTTATTTATAGTGCAGAAGCTGACCTTAGGGTTTTTTTAAGACGATTTTCCGGCCGACGGATTTCTCGGCAAATATTTTTTGAAGACAATATTTACGGAAGTTCGTTTATCGTCATCGATACGAACGCCACCAGTCCAGAAAATCACTTTCTCGACCGCAAACTCATAAATCGAAATCTTAAGTGAAGGTACTAAAAATATCTCGTGTCTCCAGGTTATAAATCGTGGTTTTGCCGATCGTCCATCACACGCTCGAGGACCTCCGGCGAAAATAAAGCCAGCTTAAGGCGCGACACGTCCAAAGTCTTCTAACAAATATCATTCCGCACGCCCCGAAATTATTTATATCAGGCATTTAAAGAAATTCAACTCAGATTCAATTCGATTCGCAAAGACTCAAATGGTAATTAGGAATTGTTTGTTTCAGACGGGGAGCCGATCAAGCTGCCCGAAAACTTGGAAAGTTTGCCACGATCTGACCACTTTCCCACGCAGCGCCATCGCTGGAATACGAATGAGGTGAGTGTATTTTGCGGAGGATCTTTAACGCTGTTAAAACAACAAAACTTATTAAAGATTTATTGTCGGCCGACAAACAACCGGCCGAAAATCTGACCCGAAAGGTTAATTTACGAACGAGAGCGGTATGGTTTCGTATAATGTACGAAAAAGTTTTTGGCCAACCGAAAGTCTATTAGGACACACACATTTTTGGGAATTAATTACCTTATTCTTTAATAATAATGTTGGTTTAATGAGAAAATTTACACATAAATTTTTAGTTTTTACTTTGATTTGTTCTATTCTCAATAGAATCAAGTTAATTTCTTTTGTATGATTATATTTGAAGTAAGTGATTATTTAATTTGGAATTACCTGCATCAACGATGATATAGGAAAATTACGTGAGTTATTGCATATTTAAAGTCTTTTTGAAAGAACATAATCCCATTAGGAGTGCTTCTACTTTTCACATGAGCAGATATTTTGTGGGTGTTTTCCTTCTTTCATTCTAAAAGTGCATTGTGCCTTTAACCCATTTATCCACCAGATGGCAATTTTACATTTTCTTGCCTCTTTCGTATAGTACCTATACATTGCGAGAATTTAGGTATAATAGAAGCATTGATATTTAAAAATGCAGCTGTATTCTTCACTGCCTCTTCACATCAAGAACGCAGGTATCTTTTAAGTAACTAATTAATTCATTTAAATACAAGATTTTACTACAGTGATTGTATCATTACAATGCTCTAACCACTAGCATATATACTCATAGGTCTCTAATATCTTTCTAATATCATTTTTCGATGCGAGCGCTGGCAATGAAACGCACGCGAATTGCATTCCTATTTATAGCATTAAATAGAAGCAGCTTAAGAAATCATAAAAAGTCTGTAATAAAATTTTCTCAAAACCAGCAGGGAACGAAAACGCGATATGAAACGATGTTATATAACAATAAAATAAAGTAATAGTTCGCTTCGGAACGCAGAAGAAAACTTGAAATTGTACAGTTGTAGCCCGTTTTAAAGATAATGTTCCGTCGTTTATTTTATTACACACAGTAATTTTGTATGTAACATATCAAACCGTTTAAGTAATATCAATGACGATGTGCATTAAATGTTTACGAGGGCATTAATTGCCGCCTTAAATCGTCCGGATGGAGTTTTTGTATGGTCTATAGAATCTAGAACGGTAGGTAAATGGCGATAGTTAACGGATGGATTCTTAAGAAATTAATTAAAATTCTTATATTAGTTCAAAGGAATTTTTAGAACCGAGACTGTACATAAATAAAAGTGCTTTTTTTAAACTACATGTGAGTAAAAGAACACATCCTATAAAATAAGTGGTATGTCAATAAGATGTTAGATATTCATGCAATTTTAGCGACATTCCTTCAGTAAAGTTTCCAACTAGAATGTTCTACAAGTTTAAATTTGCATCGCATTTTAAGCGTCACCTTTATACGGTATAATATCTAAATCTGGATCAAAATCCTGATAAAAATTGCAATTCGCAGAGTTCTATTTTATCGCTTCCACTTTTCGATACATTTATTTATCAGCTGACTCGTTTACCATGGAAAAGTTTCCCCGCACGACTGAATGCAATCTTTTGAAGTCGCTAGAATTTTATACATTCACCCCGACTCAAAAGCGATTTGCTTTTGCCCGGTAGAAATATATAAACAAATAAATAAATATAAACTTGTTCGCTTACTGTTGGGCTTGTTTGTCGGCGCAATTTCCAATTTGAGTTCCGAAAGAATATAAAGTTGCGGCGTTCTTGTTGTTTTTACGCGACTTTTCGCGGTTTTGAATTCTCCTAAACACTAATATTTGTTTAAAATATCCTCGTAATTCCTAGTTGGGAGTTTCTTATTGTATCCAATTGTATATGCAATTGCTTTAGAACTGATATTGCAACTTTAAAGTTAAAGTTTAATTACTTATTTTCTAATAATGCGAACTTTTTAAACAGAAAAGTTTATTTCATGTAAGGCTACACAGAATAATTGTTGACATTTCCATCTGAATTAGGGAAATAATAAATATATCTGAAGTAAATTAACAATTATCAAATAATACTTAGTACATCGTTAGATAATTTAAACAAATGTAATATTACTTTTTATTATTTCGATTAGAAATTAGAATTTCATTTGCACTCTTGCTACATCTTGGCTTCGGAATCGTTTTATCATTGAATTAACTCGTGATCTACTGCTAAATTATACTGAATTAAGAGCGAAACGGGCAAACAGACGCCGCTAAAATTGGGAATTAATGTTTTTCCCGGAATGACTTGCCGTGACGTTGGATAGATATAATAATGCAGCCTTCCATCGACTTACTGAAAGTTTTAATATCACCGCCTCGTTTATTGTTATTGTAGGAAATTCGAGTTAATTAGTTCCTGACGAAGGGCGCCTTGGTCTCACCGTGCCCCTCGGGGGATTAGTACCGACTTGGGTTATGACCCCCTTCAGAGGGTTTAGACTATTACAATCTTCTTAGGTAAATTCGCTTCCGCTCCAATTAATTTTTGCCAATGATTCTCCGGCATATGGACTTTCCAGATATTATTTTTGGAGAACGTTGAATTCTTGAATGTGGATAATGTACTGGTGAAACATTATTTTGTTCTCCGTTTCACCGCTTCTAAATTAGATATACCTAATAATTCTCTTTAAATTATAAAAGATTCATGCTTCATCTCGCGAATGTTGGATATAAATAAATACGTAGGTAGAAAATTTTCGTGTTATTTAAAGTATTTAGATATTCCAAAAATAAATACATATTCTGAAATTGTTTATTTTTATATCAAAACAATGAATTCTATTATTCAATTGATATCTGAATTTATAAATTACAATTTTTGTACTTGCAACGAATTTTTGTATAAGCACACGATTTTCCTCTCATTTGAATACCACCAACTGCAATTTAGCTCTATTTTTAAAACGTATAGAAGAAGCAAATTAGCATTAACTAGAGGAATTCGAAAGTAATTTAAGCGAAATTTACATAAAAAGGGTGTACTGGCTGTTAACCGAATGAACAAAGTAATATTTAAATATGTGCAACAGGAATTAATAGATACGTGTATGAAAGGGAAACAAAAGGGAAAAAACTTTTCCACCTAGTGCGATCGGTAATCGCAATAACAACGTACGAGCAAACATACCTTATTTTGAACAAGACAATTTGCATAATTCCGGTTCTATTAGAAATGTTTCATGTTTCATGTCTTATTACTCGATACACATTCGATAAAATTCTGTCATGTCCCAATTTTATAGTTAACGGGGTATTAATTTTTTACCTCTTATATTCTTAAAAAAAAACTTGTATAATAATCACTAAAAATATTTCTGTTGGTCATATAATTTTAAAGGACCTCTTCAACTATTGTACTTGCATTATACTTTCGACCGATATGTTTCGAATTTCGAACATACTTAATCAGCTGAAAATAACAGCAATACCTACTATATCATTTTTGTACAACTACAGTAAAATGGATAAGCAACAATTTCGACTAACGTGACTTTAAATGCATATCATTTCCTTACAAATTAGGCAATTACCGGCCGAAGGGTGAGCATTGTGTTTAATCGACACTTTTATTGGGAATTTTGTCATCAGATAAGTTGGGAAATATAATTTATGGAAAACTTTAAAACGAAGATTAGTTTTTTGAAGGTAAAATTGCATGTTCGAAATTACTTAAATTAAAACTTCCATGGAAGTCGGTCGGCGTGATTAACGTTTAAACTAGTTTTAACAGCGTTGTTAAGGTTATTGCCGAACCGAAATCCCACTGAAAAGTTTTATTTTAAACAATTAACTTTTTATTAGTAATTATATTTAGCTTTAAATGCTGTGTTGAATTCACGCGAATATTTATTTTTTAGTTCAATTCGGCTCTCACAAATTGGTTTTTTATTAATTTAAATTAAATTCATTGTGCACGCTAAAATACATTTTACTATTAAAATTACCAATTTTGACTTTTACGGTTAATTAAATATTTTAAATATTTGTTTTATAGAGCCGGTAGTAAATGTTTGCTTAGATACCATCAGGAGTAATGTCCAATTTTATAGACTGTTCGAGAAAAACCTAGAAACACCTACCTACTTAAACTTTTTTAAATGTTTAATTCGATAGGAAAACTAAAAGTATTTCCAGTATAGGTTTAATTACCAATTAAAAGTTTTACGGTATATGGATATATCTAAACTGTAAAACCGTGTACATATTCTCCAAGCGAAACCAACTAGCAAAATAAACAGAGAGTTAACATTATTTCAGTACTGGATTACGTTCAACGTTGAAGTGAGTCTCTTATTAAATGCATAAATGCATGCACATATGATTCATCTCGGTTTCAAGTGTCTTAATCAAATCTGTGTATTATATATTAGGCGTTTTGTCGGCTTCTCTAAATCTCCTTCTCCGCCAGTGCAATTTATACAGCTGTCTTTAAAGTGAAAATTGCTCAATATAGTCTCTATTGAAATTATATTAAACGCCTAGCTCATTTAGCAATTTACCTACTCGTTGGAAATAATTCTGCGTGCATTCGTTTACTCTATTACTCACATCCATCAATCATATCACAACCTTTACTAGAAATGGCTAAACCATCAATTTCGAGCAGCTGCTGTATTTTTCAAACCTAACGGATTCCTTTTAAGTAACTTATTTCTGCTGACATTCTTGTTCCCTTTTATGTTTGAATATCTTTTCGTGATATTTTAGAATTCGGCCCTTGCTTGCACGCGTTCGCATGGACTGACTGGCGAAAGAACGCGAGAGACCCTTCAGCTGACAGTTATTTAACCTCGTGATAGATATTCAAGCCGAAAGTGGCCACAATCCGCAAATCGATACGTTTTTATCCTTTCACAAAACACGCTTTGCCGGCCGCATACAATAGAACGATATCGCTGATGCTCTTTTGGACGCTTGGCTTTTTATAGGTAAAGCTTGTATGAAATT